TGGTGGCTCAAAACACAGCTTGATTCTCTGACAGTCCTGAGGTCAGGAGTCCAGCTCGGGCCTCACGGGGCTGAATCCAGGTGTGGGCAGGGCTGGTCCCTCCGGAGGCTCCTGGGGAGCACCGGCTCCCCCCTTTTCCAGCTTCTAGAGTCGCTGCATCTCTGGCTCACGGCCCCTCCCTCCATCCTCACAGCCAGCAGAGCAGGCTGTCTCCGGTCTCTCTGCCTCTGGCCCTCCCCCTCCCTTTTATGAGGGCCCTCACCGTGTGAGATGATGCCTCCACAGGCCCTGGGCCAGGGAGCCGACACCTCTGGGGGCTGAGTTCTAACACCTGCTCCAGGGGCTGGGGACATTCTGTCTGGGCTCTCGGTGCCCGTCTCTGTGGCCTCGAGACAAATTGCATACAAGGCTCTTGTAAGCTGGGTGGGCCTGGGGTCTGGGGAATGCCAGCGGGCAGACGCGGGGCCCCTCCATCCCCTAGCCTCCCCCGAGGGGCCCAGACTGAGGCCCAGGCCTCAGAAGGTGGGTCCTGCCTGGTGTCAGGGGCACAGGCTGGCCCTGGGAGACTGGACGGGGCAGAGAGGCCCTTGCAGGCTGGGTCTGGGGATCCCGTCTAGAGAAGGGCTGGAGAAAGCCAGGAGGTGCTGCAGAGGTGTCAGTCCATGAGCCCAGGGCCGGGGGTTTGTGAGCTGTCAGGCCTCACACCATGCTGTTTCCTGGCCATGGTACATGACTTCAGGTCGGTCTTTGAGCTGCCCCAGCCCCTCAGCTATCTGGAAACTGGGTCATTTTAATAGGAGCCCATAACCAAGGAGCACGACTCATGGCTAGGTTGTGGGGATCAAGGTGGAACCTGGGGCCTCAGCATTGCTGGAGTGTACACAGCCAGGGTTGGGGCCCACACAGGAGATCGAAGCTCCCCCAGAGGCCCCCTCAAATCTGTAGGGGCAGGGGCAGAGAGGTGGCCCCCGGGCAGGAGCCAGCCTAGGACCCCCTCAAAGCTGCAGAGCTCATGGGCAGCTGTGGGGGAGCAGGTGAGCATCCTGGCCCAGGAGGTGAGACTGGGCACCAGGCGGGGTCCAGGCAGCAGGAAAGAGCAGGCAGGCACCTGGCCAGCCCTTGAGATCCCGAGCGAGATGCCCTCAGTCCTCATACATCATGGGGCCACGTGGAGCTGCGTGCTGGGGAAGAAGGGAAGAGAAGGCTCCAGGTGCCCACGTTAGCTCCCAGCATGTGTGGACCAGTGTCCTTAGAGTTCAGGTTCTGTTACCGGTTGAATGGTGCACCCCCCACCCGCTACCCAACAAATTCCGAAGCTGAAGTCCTGATTCCGAATCTCAGCACGGGATCTGTGTGTAATGGGGTCTCTGCAGGAGGAGTTAGTTAAGGGGAGGCTGCCCGGGAGCAGGTGGTCTTGATGAAGCAGGACTGGGGGCCTCATGCGAGGGATGCTTGGACACAGACACATGGGGAGGGGCTATGTGAAGGTGGAGGCAGAGGTGGGGTGAGGCCCTTTACAAGCCCAGGGTGACTGGCAACCCCCAGGAGCTGGGAGACAGTGGGGTAGGGGGAAAGAGGTGGTCCCCGGGCAGGAGCCAGTCTGGGACCCCTGATCTCCAGCGTTGTTCAAGTCTGTGCTACTTTAACTGAATACAGGTGTTGATTTTTACTGTTATTGTAAAAGACACACCCATTGTCCATGTTCTTCCCTCAGGGGTCAGGGGAAAACCGAGTGTGGACACTGTCATCAGCTCAACGTGTGGCTTCCCCAAGGGGCTGATGGGCTGGGCTGCAGGGGACCCGTGAACCAGCCCACCCTAACGCACACCTCGAAGTCTTGGTCCCCTCATACCATCCGTTTGTCACAACCAGCAGACTAGAGATGTTTAGGACTCATACACATGCTCCGATCGCATTGGCTTGGGTTCCCTGATGCCCAAGGGGTCCCCAGTGATGTCCGGGCCCCCCTAAGCTGTGATTTTTGGTGCCCTGGGCAGTCGGGAGGGGTTCATTGGCTGTTTTTCTTGTGGTTATCAGCCTGGGAGGTGGTTTTGGGGAGGGGTCCTTAGTCCACACCCACCTTTGTGGTTCTCCTGTGAACTCAGGTCACATATCCTCGGGATCCAGATCCTGGAAGGAGACCTCAGGACACACACCCAGCATCTCTAGTGTATTTCACATTGTTGATAACTGGGCTCTTCCATTTCCTAAACTTATTTCATTCTGGTGTTCTGTATGTTTTACTCATATTTTACGACCTTTAAAAATGAAAGGATGCCACCTGTATCTATAATCCTAAATGAAGCGTCTCCTTCGTCCTGCTTTTGAACTTTAAAGGGAATCATACTATGAAAAAAAAAATTAAAGGAAAACCTCAGATCTCAGAATCTGAAAACAAAAAGTAACATTTTTGTGTCCTTAAAAAAAATTACTCAAGTGTTTGGTCATTCATATTAAAAAAAAAAGTGCCCTTTCTCGAATTTCAGAAGTTAATACAGCTTTTAATCGCTGGTGGCCTCTCTCTAGGACATTTTAAAGGAAACTGCATGTTCTTCAAACTGAAAAAAGCAGCACTTTAGCTGAGATGAGTTTAATAGAGGTTTACCCACAGCCATAGGTCTCACTTGGGCAGTCCTGCCCCCAGGGGACGCTAGGTGACATCTGGGGTGTCTGTGGTCAAGGGGGGCTCCTGGAATCAAGGGGGTGGGGCCAGGGAGGCTGCCCCACACCCCACAGTGGCCTGGATGTCCCCCTAGACATCCTGAGGGGGAGTCCGCAGGACCCCAGAGGGGTCCAGAGGGTGATCAGTGGATGTCAGCGGCCTCAGGCGATGGGGCGACCTTATGCTGACAGATCCCACCCCTGTGTGTGTCTGTGACCCCTTTTTGTAAGGACACCGTCATGTTGGCTTAGGGCCCTAATTACACCTGTAACAGCCTTATAGCCGAACAAGGTCACACTGTGAGATTCCGAGGCTCAGGTCTTCATGTGTGGACTTGAGGGTCGGGCTCTGTCCCACCACTGCCCTCTCTTCACACAGTGGACTCGCCACTGCCGAGGAGGTCTTTACCTTGTCAAGGTCACCCGGATTCTAGTCCTGTCCTTGCTGGCATCTTTGCATCAGCACCAGCAGCCTCAAGAGGCAGAAGCGGCATTTAAAAGCTTCTTTTCAACTTGCCACCTCCATCCTGGGGCTGGCACGGTCTCTGGAGTGGCCTGGAGCAGCCCCACGTGGCTGCCTCCCTGATTCCAGACATGGTGCCCCCAAGGACAGGCACCTTCAGGGAGCCCTGGCCATGCCCAGGACCCCCCCCCCCAAGCCAGCATGGGGGTGGCGCAGGCACTGCTGCAGTCAGGCACCTTGTTTTAAGCCCCCGAGGGGCCCAGCTGTGGCCTCCCTCTGGCCTGGAGTCCCAGAGTCCCGCAGTCCCATCGAGGTTACGTTTTCAGAACAGCGTGTGTCCGTTACTTCCGGAACCTTTGGTTGCCAGTAGAATATTGAAAGTGAAAGTGACAGTTGCTCAGTCGTGTCTGACTCTCTGCGACCCCATGGATTGTAGTCCATGAAATTCTCCAAGCCAGAATACTGGAGTGGGTAGTCTGTCCCTTCTCCAGGGGATCTTCCCAACCCAGGAATTGAACCCAGGTCTCCTGCATTGCAAGCAGATTCTTTACCAGCTGAGCCACAGGGGAAGCCTAGTAGAATATTAAGGCCCTCTTCCATCCCAACAAGGACACGGGCACTGTCTCTGTGTAGGGCACTCTAGCTCTGACACGGGTTTGTGGAAACATGACATGCTGCGGGGTTCTAGATGCCTTATGGGGCTCGGTCCCCATGGATCTGGGCCCCGTCAAGAATGCAGTCTGGGGCCCCTGAGTTCCCTACTTGCAGATCTGGGTGGAGGTGGGCATACTGGGAACGCCGAGGAGGAAAGGGGCTGGTGGGGGTAGCCAGGGCTGCTCGGAGACCCCCAATTGGACAGACGGCAACTTGTCCTGACTTGAGTGTGAGGGGAACACAGTTCAGAAATGGTGCATCCCCCCAAGAGGAAGGACCTGCCCAGGTCCCCAGGCATCCCGCTCTCCGCCCCACCATTCCCCTTGGGGTGGGGTCACACAGGTGTCCACTCACCTCTGTCCTCCTGCAACCCTGCTGGCTTGTGGAAAGAACTGATTTCTGGAGTGTTGCCCTCATTTTTAAAAAATGTATTTTCAAACTTTTTACTTGAAATAATCATAGTCACAGAAAGGTACACCAAAATACACAGGTATGTAAGTGTATGTAAGTGTCCTTGGCCCAGCCGCCACCAGTAGCGACACCTGGTAACCATGGTACCAGGACCCTACAGCATCTGGTACCAGAGCCTCAGAAGGAAGCTGATACCAGAATAACCAGAGTAGCTAGATTGACTAGGTACTAGTATGTACAGATAGAAGCTGAATACAACAGTCGGCAAAGAGCTGACTCATTGGAAATGACCCTGATGCTAAGAAAGGTTGAAGGCAGGAGGAGAAGGGGGCATCAGAGGATGAGGCGGTTGGATGGCATCACTGACTCAATGGACATGAGTTTGAGCAAACTCTGGGAGATGGTGAAGGACAGGGAAGCCTGGCGTGCTGTAGTCCAGGGGTTGCAAAGAGTCAGATAGTGACTGAACAACCAGAGTAAGTGGATGGCAACTAGATTAACCAGGTACTAGTGCACACAGATAATAACTAGACACAAGAGTAAGCAGATGGTAACTAGATCACCCTGGTACTAGAGTGCCCAGAGAGTAACGAGATCCCAGGAGAGCCAGACAACAGAGTAGCTGCCCTGCAGAGCATCATCAAGTCCAGGATGCTGCTACCGGCCCAACCCCAGAGCCCACTCGGCTCTGCCAGGTCCATGCACGCCTGTTTATGTTTCCCTGCCATCTGGTCACATGCACAGATGTAAGTCACAGCTCCCGGGGTCAAGTTACAGGAGGATGTGGGCCCCCTTCCTGCCCCCCCTGCAGGCCCGCCCTCACCTGGGTGCCCTCCATCCTGAGCACCACTTTCACCGATGCCGTGGGTGCCCGAGGAGCAGGCAGATTCCGGAGCGGCTGTCGGGAGGACTGAGAACACAGCAAATGCACTGTATGTCTGAAAGTTTGTTCTGATTATCTTTCCTCTGTTTCCCTCACTCCTTCATATTCTGGTGTATGGTGCTGATTAAAGCAGGCATCAGAGCCTAGGATTTTCATACGAAAAATGTTGGGGGGAGTGTTTATGGAAACATTCACAGCTACATTGTACCACTGATGAGGTATGTGTTGATGAGCGGTGACCGGTGACAGGGGCAGCTCTGTGGCTGGGCAGAGGGCATTGTGATTGGTGCTAAACCCTCTAATGAGGACAGAGGCTCCCTAACGATAGGAGACGGTCAACACACAGATCCAGGTGGCCCAGGAGAGCTTTCCACATGAGAGATGGGAATGTGGTTGGTCCTCAGCTGGAAATGTGACTTTTCCTCCAGTTGCCATCACTCTGACAGGCGATCATAGAATTTCACACTCTTCATTGATCAGTTTCACATTCAGGAATGAAATTCTGGATGGTAGGGAGATAGACACCTCCCAGCACCATCCCACTTCGTTTTGGTAAGATTGTTGAGCGAAGTCGTCTGATCCTTATTGAAAGAATTAAGAGCCTAAATACACCATGGTTCAGGTCATAAGCTGACCCGTGAACCGTGGCAAATACAAAATATGACTCGACTAAATTAGCTAGACGCTTGCAGTTTTCATCTCTTAACCAGATTTATGATGGCCTCTTCTGTCCAATGACAGTTTTGGATGGAAACAAAAAGTAGAACCCAAGCTTCTAAACAGGGCCAGATTCGGGGGTTGGGGACAGGAGAATTTCATGGGGACAGGGTTACAGTTTGGGAAGACAGCAAGTTCTGGAGATGATGGTGGGGATGGCTGGCTGACAATGTGAATGTGCTGAGTGCCACTGAACTGTGTACTCAGATAGTAAATTTAAATTATGAGTGTTTTACCATAATTTTTGAAAACTGCCCCGTATAAGAATTAGACACAGAAATAAATAACCCTTTTCATCCACCCTGAATCTATTCCACGGAACTGAGGTTTACCTGCCAGATGAGAGGCAAGTGACAGTCCCTCTGCCTCTGGTGAGCAGCCCGGTTCCTACTGGGGTCCAGCCTGGAGTGAGGACCTGGCCCCATGCTTCAGTTCTGGGTCCTTCATGCAGCCAAGGTTCTAGGGGACTTAAAGAGGCAGAATCCTTATTTTTGCTCAGTGTGTCTTGTGAAAAGTGAAAGTGTATGTCGCCCAGTTGTGTCCGACTCTTTGCAACCCCATGGACTGTAGCTCACCAGGCTCCTCTGTAGAATTTTCCAGTCAAGAAAACTGGAGTGGGTTGCTATTTCCTCATCCAGGGGATCTTCCTGATCCAAGGATTGAGCCCCAGTCTCCTGCATTGCAGGCAGATTCTTTACAGTCTGAGTCACCAGGGAAGCCACAGTGTCTTGGGTGGAATGGAAACAAGGTTGGGGTGACCCTGAGAATTTGAGTTTTTGGTGCCCCGTTAGAGGGCTGGCTTGGAGCCTGGGGGGATTGGAAGGGGATGGTCAGTGCTGTGTCCGTGCGGACGAGCTGCAGACAAAGAGGAAAGTTACTGCCTGGAACAATGTGAGATAATATGATAGAGGACCTTGAAGAAAACAAATAAAAGACGGTTGTAGATTACCGACGTCTGGGAGAAGAACAAGGAAACAGAAAAAAAGCAAGAAAACAAACCCTCACAGCGGCGCTTGTTTGAAATGCAGATGACACTGTGCAGCCTGCCCTGAAATGCCTAATAGTTAAAATGAAAGGCTTTTTTTAAAAAATCAAAGGCAAACAGGATGGAAACTCAATGGGGCCTAATCCTTGACTCTTTGTTGAAGAGACACTGCAGTGCGCCGCCCTCTCCTGGTCTGGGGACGCGGGGATCTCCATGGAGTGGGGGATGCAACGACAAGAGAACAACTGAAGGGGGGCCGCGGCAGGGTCACGTTCCCGGCAGGGTGTCTGCTGCCCTCTGAGCCAACAGTGAACACATTGGGAGGTGTCCCACACAGTATGGGAAATGCTTGCTGGTAGGGATGAATTTAGAGAAAAAATATTCTTTATGTGGTAAAATATACATAACATAAAATGTACCATTTTTAAGTGCACAGCTTGGTGGCATTAAGCACGTTCACACTGTTGTGCAACCAGCCGCACCGTCATCTCCAGAACGTTCTCATCTTCCCAAACAGAAACTCTGTCCCTATGAAACACTGACTCCCCAGCCCCTGGCCCCACCATCTACCTCCTGTCTCTGTGGATCTGACTCCTCTAGGACCTCCTGTGAATAGAATCAGACAGTGCATCCTTCTGCGTCTGGCTTCTCTCACTGAGCATCACGTCCTCAGGGTTCATCCCTGTTGTAGCAGGTGTCAGAACCTCCTTCTTTTTTATGGTGCAGTAACGTTCCAGTGTGTACATGGACCACATTGTGTTTATCCGTCATCCGTCCATGGACACTTACATTGCGTCTAACTTTTGGCTGTCCTGAATGGTGCTGCTCAGAACATGGGTGTGCAGATATTTCTAAAAATTCCCTAATCTCCCTTATTTTGGGTCTGTACCCAGGAGTGGGACTGCTAGAGCATATGGCGATTCTATGTTTAAATTTTTGAGGAACCTCCAGACTGTTTCCACAGCAGCTCTACCTTTTTACATTTCCAGCATTCACGGAAGAGGTTTCCAATTTTCCTGCGTCCTGACCAAGTTATTATTTCCTGTGTTGTTGTTATTGTTCTTTAGTATTTGCCATCCTAATGGACATGAGGTGGTATGTGTTTTTGAACTCCATTCTTAGTAATATGACCAGGCTCAATATTTTTTACTTCTATAAAGACAGGTTTGGAAATACGTAAAATGGGGATTAGAAAGCATGGGTACTTTTCTTATTCCATTGTCCATAAAGGCAATTTTTTTCAAAGGCTTAAAACTACACACATTGATTATCTCATAGTCCTTTATAGTCCTGCAGGTAGGGAGTCTAACATGGGTCTCTCAGGCTGAGATCCAGGTGTGGGCAGGGCTGTGCTTCTTTCTCAAGGCTCTCATCTGTTTCCTGCCTTTTCCAGCTTCTAGAGGCATCTCTGTCCTTGTCTGGTGACACACTTGTCTCTCCAGGGGTGGCCAGATTGCTCTATAGACAGGGTCTGTGGCCAGATACTGTAGCTGCTGCCCAGTTAGCATTTCATCTGCAGGGCTATTCCCTGGTCAGGACAGCGCCGTGAGTGGCATTGAGTCCAGAGCCCCGTGAATGACTGTTTATGAGCCAAATGCACACGGCTGGTTACTGACGTGCTCGACTGGACCCGTCTCGGATCCAGGAAGGAAGGTTTTGGGTGAAGAGGAAAATCAAGCTGTTTGCCAAAATCAGTTCGGGAGTACCAGGAGATGGCAGGCGGGGTGGTTGGGCAGGGTGGGGGAAGATGGGGTGAGCTGACATTGGGAGCTGGCGAAAAGACGTCATGGGATATGCCACCTCACCCCGGGCTCTCCCCTCCTCCTGCTGTGGCCCTGCCTGATGGGCAATGCTGACCTATGAGGGAAAGTTCAGGGGAGATCTGTCTGCTACAGAAGGCTGCCTTTCATTTGTTCAGACACCAGGTGGAGGGCGCACACTGGATGCAGGCACTGGGCTTGTCCCGAGGACACCCCAGGGAGCGAGCTGACCCAGGCGTGGCTACTTCCAGGGCTCTGGCAGGGATGCAATTAGTCTATGGCTGCGGGTCTCCCCCGAGGGGCACTCTGCTCCCCAAGACATGGGGCCATGTCTGGGGACATGTGTGGTTGTCATGTCTGAGGATGCCCCCGGCATCAAGTGGGTGGGGGCCAGTGATGCTGCTCCATCCCCTATAGTGCCTAAGAAACCCCACTCCCCTCAGAAAATGACAGGCCTCAGCATCAGCAGAACTGGGGGAGATGCCACTCTAGTATTAAACTGGTCAGCACACAATAGGATCAGTGCTTAGCAGGGCACACAGCTCCTTCACAGAGGTCAGTGGAGCCATGGATGACACCTGAGGTCAAGTGAGGAATCTGGGCTCCCAGGAGAGCTGGCAATGGGGCAGCTGTGGGGGAGAGGGTTAACACAGTATGGGAAACAGCAATTAGCTCAGTGGCACCTGATGACCCCTTGGGGCCTGGATGGAGGCAGACACGGAGCACGGAAGAGCTAGCATTGTGTAACTGGTCTTAAAGCTTTTTACTTTTTTTTTTTTAAAGAACAATACAGGGAATTTCCTGGCAGTCCAGTGGTTAAGACTCTGAGTTTTCACTGCCAAGGGCCCGGGCTTAGATAACTGGCCAGGGAACAAGGATCCCAGAAGTTTCGCATCAGGGCGAGCAAATAAATAAACAATTTTTTAAATAAAAGAAGAACAATACAGAAGTAACACAGGTCAAAGGCAATGGGACAAAAGGACAAAAGGACAAAGGTGGAACCCCACTGGCCCTTCCTTCAGTTCACTCACATCTGGCTGACATCAGCATGAGACAAGCTGGAGTCTATGGGGATGTGGGCACGTTAGAGTTTTGTTGTTTTAATCGGTAGCATGATTTTCCTTGAGCTTTCATGAATTGCAGGCATCTTCTAATTACCATGTTAATATTCATCTTTGTCAGACATGGTCATACCACACACCAGGGTACCACTGGCCAGGGTACCTGGGTGCCAGGCTCCAGCCAGCTGGCTGACTGGGTCATGCAGGCTAGTTCTCTGCTTTAGCTGAGCCAGTCTGGCTCTGCCAGGATCTGGCTGATCCTGTCATGTGGCACAGGGCATGAAAAGGGGATGTTGGAGGTCCCTGACCACACCTGCTCTGCCGTCTCCGGGCTGTCTCTCTCTCTCTTGATCTCCGTGGGTCCCACCTCTCTCACCTCCTCTTCCTCTCCTTTCAAATAACAGCTATTTTCTCACACAAAGGTGTTGAGCGGTCTCTCTGTGTGCCCTTTCATCTCGCATCCTCAGGGCCTCGCTCACCGTCCCCGAGTACTAATTAAGGTATTTTC